GGCACCTGCCCACTCTGGGCACACGGAGCTCCTCCCTGGCTATGTACCAGGTGCAATGCTAACGGCAGCACATACATCACCTCGTTTACTCTGCACGATGACCTCACGAGATAGGTGCAGATGGGGAAACTGAGGCAGAGATGAAGTCACTCACTCTAGGTCATACAGCTGCTTAAATGGTAAGGCCGGGATGTCTGAGGCTCCAGTCTGAGTGCTAACCACCACAGCCCACTGCCTCCTACACAAAGGAACACATGAAGCTGCCCCAGGGTTTCCATTCACAGGTACGATGACCCCCAGTACCCAGGGAGGAAGACACGTGAGGACAGAGCCCCTCTAAGAAGACTCCAGAGGCTGCTAAGACCCAGCCCTTCCCGACCAGCTCCAGGCCTGGCACGGCAGCCCATGCTCCTGGGGCCTTACTGGGACCTAGGGCTAGTGCACACGAGGACCTGTGACACCCGCCTACCCTGCTCACTGCTGGCTCGTCCCTTCTCCTCGGGTTATACCTCCCACTGGTACAGAGATCCCACTTGGCCCCCTGACCTCACTGGAGCCTTTTAATAGCCTGGTTATTCCTGGGTCTCGGTCCCCCTCCCCCTTCCTGATGTCACGGTTGCTATTTTGGAGCCCCCTCCTGGCCCCTCCTTGCCCCCAACTCCAGGCACGGAGCCAGGGACACCTGTCCTCTCCCTGGACTGGATGACCTCACCCTCCTGTCAGGAGCCCTGAAGGAGCTGGCCAACCAAGGACATGGTAGCCGTGGCTCCTGCAGCCCGGTATTCTAGCCAGCTTCTGCCAAGCAGGGATGACAGCAGAGGGGCCTCCTGCCCTCAGGTGGGGGACCATATAGACAGGGAGGTGGCAGAAATGGGCTTTCCCAGGCACTAGACGAGCTGATCTCACACAATAAGACGGACACTGGGGTGGAGGGCGGGAAACAGGACCCGAACAAAGATCTGGAGCTTCAGCTTCTCTGCCAAGGCAGACTCTAAAAAAATGGTGATGCGGCAGTGCTCCCCGCAGGGGTTTGGCGTTGGCAGACATCTCAGGGTGGGTCTGGGGACCTCATTCACCACCTCCTGCCCCAACCTCATCCTGGCCAACCAGACTCTCTAAAGAGGAAGGGAAGCAAAGACCCAAAGTCCCCTCAGTGAGGGGATGGGCAGCAGACTCAAGGCAGCCCAGAGAGCCAGGGGCAGGAGCCCCTCCCAGCTCAGGACTCCACCCACCCACGCTGGGAGCAACCAGAAGGGCTGGCTAGCCCTGTCCTGGCTCTCTCTGCCTGCCCCAGGCACAGGAGAATATGGTCGGGGAGCCCTGTTCTGGAGGAGAGGAGGTCCTCAAAAGCAGAGCCCCCAGAACTTGGAGCAGCCAGAAACCTAAGGAAAGAGAACTCCTTGCATAGGAAAGATACGAGCACCCAGGAGACTGGGCAACCAGAGGTGGCCACAGCCTGGGGCTCGGGGCAGTTCCCAGCACTGTTAGGACTTCCTGTAACAGCACGAAGTGGGAAGGAAAGCGTCAGACAACCAGACAATCCTCAACGCACTTCCCAGAATCCTCCAGGGGAGCTGGAGACGAGGCCTGGGGTGAGAACAAGTGTCTTTTCTCCTTCTGAGATTCAGGTGATGCAATAAGGTCTTCCTCATGTCCAACCCTCAACGTTTCCCACTCTACAGCCCCTCTCCTCGTGGTTCATTTCTCGGTCTCCAGGCATCCAGCCCCCCCATGTGTCATCCCACAAACCTCACAGAGCACCCACCAAGCCTAGGGTGCGTGAACGCCATTGGCAGCTGGCACCATCCCCTCCAGACCACAACGATCTCATTCCCTCCCTCAGAGGCCGGCCTCAGGCCTCCTAACCTTCCAAATCTAGAGGAGGGGAAGAGGCCATTGCTGGCTCCTTGAGTTCCTCCAGGCTCCTGTTTCCTGGGCACAAAAGGTTGGGGTAGCGCCCTGACCTAAGAGAAGAAAGCAAATCTTATTCGTGCACAGTGAAAACCCGAGGGCTGGCTCAGGAGCACCCTGGATCGAGGGAGGGTACCAGGTGCCCTGCGGCCCTGGGGACATCAGGCCGGCCTGCCCTCCAGCTTTCTCCTGCCCTTTGAGCCCCTATCATGCTGGAGCCCGTCAGCCCATGGCATCAGACAGAGCTGCGTGTGCCAGGTTCCACGCTAGGTGCTGGCTGAAGCCTCCCATTTGAAACCAAGTCCCGGAAAAACGTGAACACCTACTTTGGCAGCTTTCACATCCCCTCAGGGTTGACCCTGCCGTCCCATCTGAGCCTTCAATCCCTTTCGACTGATGAAGCAGGGAAGAGGAGGGCGGAGCAGATCCCAATCTACAGTAAGCACAGGTGTGCCAGGGGGCATCCAAGTAGAGAGTCCACTTCCCAGACCCCAGGCCCACACCCGTACTGACCCACTTTCTCCTTCTCGGGGCTGGGTGCCTGCCTCCCCTTAAGGGGGGGGAGGGGGCGTCAGAGGCAGAGCCTGAGCCCGAGGCTGGGAGGCAGGATGCCGAGGTTCCTGGCTCCACCCCACACCCATGCCCCAGTTTCTCTGGTCACCCGGAGGGGGCAGCTGCCTTCCCTCCCTCCTTCCTGGGAAAGGGAAGGAGAGAAAGTGTGGAGTGTGTTGGGAGGTGCTGGCCAGGCAGGTGTTGTCATGAAGCTTGTCTCCCCTCCCACGCTGGGGATAAGGAACCTGGCCGCCTCCTCCTG